TAAAGGAAAATAGTTTCTTGGTCTATTTTCAATTTCTTTGATCAATTTGTAAGAATCCAACTAGTCTACAATCTAAGACCCAATTTCATGTATATACGTCCATCTCAAGGCCATTTTAGTGATTTGAACTATTTGACTTGTAAATTCTATTAAGTAGATTATTCATACAAAAAATTTGATTAATCAAATACTTATAGCTACTTTATGAGATCACGAAAATAAATAAGAAGTATGAGATAATATAAAATATAAAATATATTATGAGATTATTAATATCAAATTAATTTGATACTTTACATACATAAACTTTTAAAAAAATATTACAAATTGTATTATTTAATTTAAATCATCAAAATGAGTCCAAAATGAATACACACCATGGAATCTAGACCTTTGAAGTTAAAGTTTTTTAATTAGAGGCAAATTGGGTTCAATTTGTTAAAGAGAGAGCATAAGATGGTTTTTTTTTTGGTTACCACGGAAAAAAACACAACAAACAAAAAGGGCTACATCCTCTCCCTAGATAAACCTAACATATCAGCCACCAAGAGTTTGCGCACTTCTGCTAGGGGATCGTTCACCACTAGGAGCTCCATAGGTTGCTCTGCACCAAGCTTCGCCATAGCATTAGCACAGGAATTTCCCTTGCACATGACATGTTGGATTGTGCATTCACATCCTCTCAGGAATTCCCCTTGCACAAGACATGTTGGATTGTGCATTTACATCCTCTCAAGATGATCCGTGCGTCTTCTATCAAGCCTCGAAAAGGGCAGTCTCCACTCGAGCCATCTTCCAACAGCTTAACGACTTGTGTAGCATCTATCTCCACAATCACCTTAGTCATACCCATCTGGAGAAGAATGGTCAGCCCCTTGTACACCACCCAAAGCTCTACTTCTAAATTTGAGCAATTTTCTAATTTGCCATTGTTAGAAATGGGTTTTGAAAAAATCTGGAAAAACATAATTTTTTCTTGACTTTGATCTATTTTTTAGATGGGACCCGTGCGCTAAAGTTGGCGGGTCTAAGTGGTAACGCGTTCTATGCCATGTTGTGATTCACGTGGTATATTTTGTTGCTCAAAACCATTATCGGGTGAATGAAAAATTAAAACCAAAGTAAGCTCCATGGAAATAGAGTTTTGGTGGAAAATCCCTTAAGGTTTGAATAATGGCTTGTCCCATATTGATTTGGTGGAAAACTTTGAGTGGGTTTATAAGGTATGGGATTGGAACTTGGGGTAGGCCCCAAGGGGCACCCAAGTTTTGTAGAAAGAGAGGTTATGGACAAAATAGGCTAGACCCATTGGACCCAAAAATTACCACACGCACGCGCCACCACCCTGGCGGGCTTGGGCGCGGGTGCATAGTTGGGTTGGGCATGTTCAGCCCAATACTAATTTTTTTGGGCAAAAAACATTTGAATTTATTTTTTATCTTTGGAAAATAAATTATGACGGTTTGAATTTAAATTTCAGTTGGAAAATTCAAATTCAAGTTTTGCACCTCTTTATGGTGTCTGTACAAATAGATCCGAAATTCTGTACAGATTCGAAACTGTTCAAATATAGTTTTTATCTGTCCGAATTTAAATTTGAACCCATACAGTCCAAATTCAAATTCAACAGGTTCAGTACATGTTCAAACAGGTATGCTACCTATTCAATTCAAAATAAAAAGGTGCCACTACATCTATAAATAAGACAAGTTCCTCATTTGATTTTCACTCTAATTTTTGTCCAATACTCTGTTTTTGTTCTCTGCATATTTTGCTGCATTAACTATACTCCCTCCGCCCCAAAATATTGGTCCCTTTTGGGGAATCCAACTTTTTTTGGTAGTACACTTATTGCATTTGAAAAAAGTTAGTTTTCCAAAATTACCCTGTTATATGTTCAAATTCAAACCCAACAGGTACAGTACCTGTTCAGACAGGTATGCTACATGTTCAATTCAAAATTAAAGGGTGCCATTACTTCTATAAATAGACCAACCCTCATTTGATCAGATTTACTCCAATTTTCGTCTCTCTTTTGCTGCAATTCATCTCTGCATTTTGCTGCATTTATTCCATTATTTTTCTATGAAAAAGAGTGTATACACTAAGTGTGTTCATTGTGCGAATAAATTGTAGTGCTGCATTTATTCGTTGTTGATCATTTTATCCTGTGAGATAAACGTCCACATTCTGAAAGTATCGTGGAGAGGACGGATATGTCTTAAGGACACAGTGTCTAACACTAAACTTGATCAGAATATTGTTCAAGAAATTAATCAGGTAAGTTGTTAATTTATTTTCTGATTTATTATTTATTTAAATCAGATTTTGATTTTGTTTTTGTAACAAAGTAAAAATTTGTTTTTATTTATTTATTTTTATTTATTAGTTTGATTTTTGTAATCAAACAATCTCTCTCTTTTTCTATATTTCTTTTGTATTCCGTTTGTTGTTTAGTAAACAAATAGAATTTATTTCTTTAAATGTAGTGAAGATTGTCCTACAACCATAATACCTGCTTATCCAGCTTCCTGCTTCATCTCGAAACAACCCACCAAACCCAGCATATCTTGATCTTCCTCTTGTGCATCCATCTATATTCAACTTACTAGTACCTGCAAAGGGGGAAACCGTCTAATTAGTTGGGGTGACAACTAAGGGTAAATAATAGAAATAACAAATGCCAAGTGAATATCCCTAGAAAAATCGAATATAAATTTCAAGTTCTTCTGTGTAGTGATATCTTTGTTTTCAAACCATTTGGTGTTACGGTTTTTCCAAATCTTCCAAATAGAAATAGCAAACAAGGTACTCTAAAAGATATGTTCATAAGCAGTGGCCCCTTTTTTTTAAGTTAAATTTGATCCATTCCAGCAGAGGTTTATTCCAGATATCTTTGTACACCACTCCCTTCCAAAAAGAGAGGACCAAATAACAACAGCTTTCGAACAAACCCTAAAAATATGATTCATATCTTCCATCTCCAAACAACTAATACAAGAAGAAACATTAGTTAAATCCCTTCGCAAGTTATTAGTGAGGAGTTTTCCATGGAGCACAATTCATAAGAAACTCTCAAGTTTTTGAAGAATTTTCAATTTCCACATCCAATGCCAATCCACCTCATGACCAGGTTGATCATTGATAAGGTCATAAGCATCAGCTGAAGAGAACTCCCCATTCAAATTTTTTTTCCAAATAAGAACATCAAGAACATAATTTGCTCTTTGAAGGAGAATGGTCAAAATACTTGAAAAACTAGAGGGAGGCAAATTTTTCAACAAAGTCTCAATCTCCTTCATTCATGAAGAGGGAGTTCACCTTCTCGTTATTGGTAGGCTGGTAGATGAAATTTTCTACCTTGGGAGGATTTTCTAACTCGGGGGATCACATTTGTGAGATCAAACTTGATGGACAATTTGTTAATCAATGAAGGGGTAACCAAACCTTGACCAGGGCACTTTTTCAAGGATGCTTACCCTTCAATCTTGGGACACGTGTCGCGTGATCATGTGGGGGGTTGCATGAGCCATTTATTGTACCTCCATCCAACTAAGGTCCTGTTTGGTTAGAGACTTTTTGGTTTTTTTTTTTTTTTTGCTAAAATTTATAAAAAAATAAAATAGGTTAAAATAGTTAATAAGATAAAATATTACATTAAATCTATAATTATTTTACCTTTTTTTTTCATAAATATCACATCTATCTATAAAAATTTTAACTATATTCTCAAATATAAAAATTTTAACTTATTAAAATAATCAAGAAATTAAAATAATCAACTTCTAACACCAGGCCAAAGTACCCTACATCATAATTTTGCTCAAAAAAAATTAGATCAAAAATGGGAAGTTGAGATGAATCTGTCAATCAAAGTCAGCACATGCAAATGCAAATACAAATTGCAAATGAGAGAGAGAGAGAGAGAGAGAGAGAGAGAGAGAGAGAGTGTGTAAAGATTCAGCAATCAGAGGCCACCACTACAACTATAATGAAGACAGCCTTGTATTTTTTTATTTTTTTATTTTTAATAAAAAAGGATGCTATGAGATTTGATTACGGTATTTATGAACTCAGGTCTGGAGATAATTGATTATCGACTTAGTATAATTCAATTTAAAGAAAGAGATTCACCATCAAAATAAACTCATCAATCACTTTTAATAGGATAAAGATTCAATCGAAATACAGCGCATTAGAAAAAAACAACCTTAATGACCTCATGAATTTCAACACCCTCTTCGCGTGTTCTCACTCCATTGGATCCATTGTGTACAAAACTCTTTTTCTTCTTTAAGTAAAAGTTGAAAGAAGAAAAGTTGTCCCATGATACCATAATAATAATAATAACAATAATGTTAGGTATTATAAAATGAGTAATATAAAAAATATTTATGAAGATTCTTCATTTTGAATTAATTTATAATATTTTATTATATATTATGTAATCACTCTTAAAATAATTTTATAATATTTTTTTCATAATATGTCATAAGGAATAAAAAAGTAAAAACGTTTATATTTTATAATGAGCAAAGTTTTTGGCCACAAAGATGGAGTGAACTATTTAGTGGGCCTGCAACCTCATCACATGCCTCATTTTACTAATTCAATTTACTTAGGTAGCCTCTATGAATAGACGGCTCTATGACAGATTGTTTATGAAAAAAAATTTAGATAAATTTAATAATTGTAATTAAGAATAATTTTAAAAATAAATTATTAATTTTTCAAAAACAAATGTAATAAAATAACATACCTAAAATTGTTATATATATATATATAGACTTAAAAATTGAGAGGATCAAATTATTAGAATGAGACCTAACTAGATAATCCACTCCACAATGTAAATTAAATATAAAAAAAAAAGAAAGAAGCGATAGTCGTTTTCAAAATAATAAAACAAATAAATACCGTATAATTGAACAGACCCACCATGTGTCACCCACCTCATGGTTTAGACTTCTCAACCTAATTCGATTAAGATACATAAGTAAGGCCTTTTACTCTCTCTCTGAACCACCCTTCTCTTTCTCTTTCGTTGCCTCTCTCTCTTTATTTCGGTCTCTCTCAATATAGTTGTCAATACATCACAACAATTCATTCATCACTGAGTTCAGATCTGATCAATCCCAAGTCTCTCCACTATGTCTGAGAAGGTTTGTGAATTATGATCATCTTCCACTATCTCAAAAAACCCATTTAATTTTTATCCATTTTTTGTGTTTTTGTGGTTGAGATTTGATTTCTTTAACATTGATATCTTGTGGATTTGGATTTATTTTCTTCATCATCTACTCCGCGAAATCTTCCATGGCAGGACCCAATTCTACTTCTTTCCTTGTCCCTCTAATTCAACAGCAAATTTTCTCATCTCCCAAACAGGGTTGTTCTTGTACTTTCTTGATTCCTTAACAATTGTAGTCTTCTGTCATCATGTAAACAGGTCACAACAATGGTGTTGAAGGTTGACCTTCAGTGCTCCAGCTGCTACAAGAAGATCAAGAAAATTCTTTGCAAATTTCCTCGTGAGTCCCCCCCAACTTTTTTGTATTCATTATTAAACATTTTCACCTATATATAATACATATATATTTTATGTACATACGGATTATATATATATATGGAAAATGTCTCGTAGCTCAAATTTTGTGGCTCAAAAGTGGCTCAAATGGCCAAAACGACATCGTTTTGGCCATTTTTATGTTGTTCTGTACTCAAAACGACGTCGTTTTAGCCATTTGAGCCACTTTTGAGCCACAAAATTTGAGCTACGTAGCATTGTCGTATATATATATATACACAACAATGATCGAGATCTTTTTTGGAATCTCACAACCTCTTAGATCTCAATGTGAATCCTACACGTATAAGTAGGTCACACACATACATTAATGATTAAGATTCAAAAAGATTATGAGATGTCCCAAAAAGAGGGTTGCAAGCTTTTTTCAAGGATTTTTGATATATATATATATATATATGAATTTGCCATTTCTCCAGTGGACTGGATAATCGAACAGAGAACCACAACTTTATATATAATATAAATAGGGTATTGCATTCTCTCGAGCAGACAATTCAATTGACCTATTGGACTTTTAGAGTCACTTTTCGGTAATATATTTTGTTCATAAAAATATTCAATTGATCTCATAAATGTTGCAACATATATAAAGGAAACACTATCAAAATGCGTCTACTATATACCTTATAATTAGGGAATAAATTGTTATAACTTAATATTTTTAAGTCATAATTAAAAAAAAAATTGTCATAACTAAATTATATAATTAAAGAATTCATGAGTTACAACTAAAATAATGTCATAATTAAAGAAGAGAATTAGTCATAATTAAAGAAAAAAATAACATAATTAGGAGTACATATAGTATACCTTTTCAAGAGTGTGTATATTAGAATTTTTTCATATATAATTTTATCATTTTTATCTTTCAAAAAATAAACAGTAAATATGTTTTTAAAAAATGAACTATTCATTTTTTTTTTTTTTTGCTACTGAAATAATAAAATCATGAATTTACGATTCTCGAGTCAATTTAATTTTTTTAAGAATAATTTACATACTAAGATGTTATAAATAAACGGGATAAATCATTAAACATAGACATAGTGGACCTAATGGGCTACATTAGATCATCCAATCGAGTCCACAAACAGGAGAAAATTCCTTTTCTATATGACAAAAAATAACTTCGTGAATGAATTTTTGCTAAAGCGGAATTTAAAAAGGATAAGATGCTTGCATCGTGGATTACTTTATTTTTAAAATATTATTTTCATTACTATGAATTTATTTTATATATATATACATAATATTGTTTAATTTTGATTTTTTTATGTGTGAACATTTGGAGATAATTAGAAATACGAGATCAGATTTATAATGAAAAGCAAAATACGGTGACGATCGTCGTAGTATGCTGCAGCCCTGAGAAGGTTCGTGACAAATTGTATTGTAAGGGTGGGAAGACAATCAAGTGCATTGAGATCAAAGAGCCTCCAAAGCCCGAGCCTCCAAAGCCCAAACCCCCTGAGAAGCCTAAGGAGCCTGAAAAGCCCAAACCCCCTGAGAAGCCCAAGGAGCCTGAAAAGAAGGAGCCTGAAAAGCCCAAACCCCCTGAGAAGCCCAAGGAGCCTGAAAAGCCCAAAGAGCAGCCCCCCAAGAAGGAGCCTGAAAAGCCCAAAGAGCCACCACGATGTCCCCCTGCTTTTGTACCAGCTTTTGTACCAGTTTGCTACCCACCGATGTATCCGGTTGGGATATGTTGTGGGCAATGCTATGAGGGCCGTACTGATGGGCCATGTTATCATGGGCGTGGAACGCCAGTGCCACCCTATGATAATTATGGATGTGGGCCTTGTGGTTGTGGTTGTGGTGGGAATAGGGTTTGTTACACTAGTCGGTGTGATTATTTTAGTGAAGAAAATCCCTCAGGATGCACAATCATGTAATGCTAATGCTTTGTCATGTCCAAGATTTTTGATTCCCTTGCTTAAAAAATGTTCAATTAGTTTTGGGTGTATGTGGGTTTTTTATATAAAGGCTTTTACATATATATAAGTACAAAAAAGCATCAATAATGAGGTTGGTAGTCTAATGTTTGTGGCCAAATGGTTATTGACATTGAGGTCACATAAGATGTTGTATGATTTGTCATTATAATAAAAAAAAGTCTTCATTATTCATTTCCCACTATAAGTTTATTGTGTCTTTGTTTTGTTTTGCTTTAAATATTTTTTCAGTTAGGTGTTGTGGCATTTCTTTTCTCTTTTCTTTTTTTTTTTTTTTCTTTTTTTTCTTTTCTCATTCACCTTCTAGACAAAGGTGAAAAGCTATACCACACTAAAATTATTTGGGAGGGTGCAAGGAACTTGAGAAAGTAGATCACTTGGGATTGCTTAACATAAAGGGAAACATATTATTAGCAGCCTCTGGTAACCAATGGAGACCGGATCAACATGATCACAATTTACAATAAGTTAAAATTTTGATACTTTCTCTTTTCATTTTCTTTAGCTCTGCAAATTTTATTTTATTTTATTTTATTTTTAAATTTAAGATTTAAACATAACTCTAGAGCCTTTATATTCGATCAAATTATAAGTCAACACATACAACTAGAAATAAGTAAGGTCAAACTAACAAGTATTGGGAGATACAGTCTGAATCATGTATGGAATATTGTAAGTAGGACCTGGATATTGAACTTTTAAGGCCTCGTTTGATAACGTTTGTATTTTATTTTTGTTTAAAACAATAGTTGATTATACAATTTTAAAATGTTTTGAAAAAAAAAAGTATTTTTACTTATTTTCAAAACAAAGTTTCCCTTTCCTCTCCCTTCTCTACCGCCTACAGTCAACGAACCTCCTATGGTATCCAATCATCTTCTAGCCCATGCTATTCTTGCTGTCGATCGTTACATTTTTCCACCCTCCACTGCTAATCATCATTTTCGATAACAATTCACCAAACATGTTCTTTTATATTAATTTTTTGGGTAAATTACAAACACACTTCTTGAGATTTACTAAATTACAAATTACTCTCCGTGGTTCTACAAATTACACTATGCCCCCTAAGCTTTCTAATTTCATAACAAATATGTCGTTTTATTAATAAATCATCAGATTAATTAACAGTTTTTAATAATGTTAAAATTTTATTTCAATTCATAATTCAGATAGTTTTATTATTAAATAAGTGAACCGTTAGAAATTTTACTTTTTCAATTAATTTTGTTAAATAAAAAATTCTGACAGGGAGGTATTTGTAATTTTTCAAATTACAGGGGGTAATTCGTATTTTAAGAAAAACTCAGAAGGTGTATTTGTAATTTATCCTAATTTTTTTATTTCTCAAAACTTTCATGTACATCAAATAAGTTTTTTTAATATATTTTTTTGTTAATTTCTTCAATTTAGGCGTTCAACTTCAATTATGTAGCACTCTTTTGTGATGTGAGAATATAGGTTCAACTTCTATAAAAATGAATTTAATATTATTTGTGATATTTATTTTTGGGATATCTACTAGCCAGTCCCATTAAATGAAATTAATTACCCATAAGTCCTATTGACATTTTAAATACACCATTAAGTCCTCAACTGTCTATATTACCCTCACTACACTTACCAACACCATTAAGTCCTTCTCTGTTGCCATCAATGGTGCTCACATCAACCACCGTCTTTGTCATTCTCTCTTGCTGCCATCATCGCTTACCCCATACCACTGTCATCCTCCTTCGTTGATTGCCATCGACATCACCTCTGTTGCCATAATCCACCATTACCAATCTATTGTCTTTGATGACGAACTTCATCGATGGCTTCAGATTTAGGTATTTTCAATGCAGATTTACTATATTCAGCTCCAATTTGTTACTGTATATGGTTTCTAGTGAGATCAAGACTTTTTAAAGACCATCTCCGCTTCCACTGTCGTCATTTTTGGTGATCTCAACTGGCATCTTCTTTCACTTTCACCATTGCTTCTACCGCTCTTTGCTGCTGGGTTTTCTCTCTCTCTCTCTGTATATTGGGGAAGATTCCAGTGATAAATCTGTTAATCCTTCATTACCAATCTATTGTCTTTGATGACGAACTTCGTCGATGGCTTCAGATCTAGGTATTTTCAATGCAGATTTACTATATTCAGCTCCAATTTGTTACTGTATATGGTTTCTAGTGAGATCAAGACTTTTTAAAGACCATCTCCGCTTCCACTGTCTTCATTTTTGGTGATCTCAACTGGCATCTTCTTTCACTTTCACCATTGCTTCTACCGCTCTTTGTCACTGGGTTTTCTCTCTCTCTCTCTCTCTGTGTATATTGGGGAAGATCCCAGTGATAAATCTGTTTAAATTAGTGATAAATTTGTTTAAACTAGTAATAAATCAGTGATAATTTTATTTAAATAAGTGATAAATCAGTGATAAATTTGTTTAAACCAGTGATAAATTTACAGTGTTGAGTCTGGGATAAAATAGAAAAATACTATTTGATTTTTTTTTAATAAAAGCTATTAGGTAATAAGACTGGTTCATAGGACCGGCCCGTAACTCCCTTTTTATTTTTTCACCTCTATTGAAATTGTTAAAATTGTTGGGTTACTTATTAGTTTTAGTGTCGGTTGGACTTTAATTATTTAGTTTGATATGTAATAATTTATTTATTTATTTTTCATAGGGTCACTTTCACTTTTAGCTTTTGGGCCTAGCAACTTTTGTTGTCTCATTTTTATTTTTTTTTTCATAGGGTGACTTTCACTATCAGCCTTTGGGCCAAGCAACTTTTGTTATCGCATTTTTTTTTTTTTTTTTTAATTTTTTTTATCGCATTTTTTTTTTTTTTTTATAGGGTCACTTTCACTTTCAGCTTTTGGGCCTAGCAACCTTAGTTGCCGCCTAGGACTGCTTCTACAATGCAATAAGGCTACATTTATTTGGTGAATTAGATTAGAAGTAATTATAAATTTGATAAGATTGAGTAAGGAAATTAATAATGTAATAATATTAAATTAAAAATATAAGATAAAGTATGTTTGTTTGTTTGTGTAGTAGTGTGATAATATTAATTAATTAGAATTAAACTTGTAAAATTACATAATTGTAAAATCATTGAAACTAAAGGACAAAATAGTCTTTTATCATCAATCCCATCTCTCACCCATCTTTGCTAATCCACCCATAGTGGTGGACCACTATTCTAATTGAAATGTTAATCCCCTTACAATTTTTTTAACCAAACATACTATGGATGAAATCTTTTTCACTCATAATCCAATCCTCGTATACATATAAACAAACATGTCCTGAAAAAAAAGAAAGTAATGCTTGTCTCTTATGCATTTTTGTTTTCAACTCCTAAATTGATTCACTTGATAAATTATAAGAGGTGAACAAGTTTTTTGAAATATATTTCTAGATATTAATTAATATATAAGAAATATTAAATGGAATTTGAATGGAAATTTTTTTTTTTTTTTCTTTTTTCTCTTTAAGAAAGGCTTTGTTGACTGGCCATGTTCTTATTGTGTAATAAACTGAGAGATTCTATTTACAACCAAAAAAATACTAAGTACTGTCAATTTCTAAGTGTACCTTATTTAATTATTTAAAATTTTATTGTACTCTCATTACACTCTATTATTTTTCTCAAATTACTCTCAAGGTAAACCTAAATAATAAATAATAAACAAACTAAAAATACTAAATTATTTCAAAAAAAATTCAATACATAAAATAATTTTCAAATACAGAAAAAAATCCCAAACTTATAACCACATAAGTATTATAAATACAAAAAAAAAAAAAACCAAACTTTTACATAAGCATTATAAAACTTTTCAATACAGAAAAAAAAGTTAAGTTATAAATTATTCACAAGAATGCTCGTGGAAAAGTAAAAACTAAACTTATAAGCACATAAGCATCAAGTACTAATAAGAAAGAGTAGTTCTCAAATAATATACTATTTAAATGACAAAATAAGAACAAATCTAATAATATGTTACTGTTAATCTAACTAGTGGGCCTTTTAATTTTTGTCAAAAAAACGATAGAGAAAATAATTGATGGTGCTCTACAAAAATTGTGAAATCCCTTTATGTGAATACTTACCTCTTTTTTTATGGGTTGCTTCAAAAAACTCTTTTGATTATTACTCTTATCCATTATTTAATTTTGTTCAAAAAAAATTTCTAGGGTTTAGGGTTCAAAATAATAAAAAATGATGATGTTGATGATGATAGTGAGTTTTGGTAGGGTAGATTGAAGTTTTGAAGGGAAAAAGAAGAAGAAGAATAAATAACTTTGATCTCTTGAGGAAGAAGATACATAGATTTGCATAGGAATAACTGATTAGGTTGTACCATGAAAAAAAAATTATTTTAAGATTTAGTATATATTATCCTTATTAGTAAATTTATATTACGATATAATAAGAATTAAAATTTATAAATTTGAATTGGACGTTTTGAAATATATTTTGGATTCAAATAGAATCCCATAACCTTGGGGCTTTTAAGTGAAAAGTGGGCCCATAAAATACTTTTTGAAGGCCCAAGTTGATTAGAATTTTTGATTGATATATACCAGGAGGAATCAGAGCCTTAGGAAGACCCGGACAATCTGAGCGTATAATATCACCAAACTTTATTATGCTTTCCCTAAATTATGATTCTTCTTTCGATAATGGTGAAGCTTATAAGAACTGTTTATACTAATTTTTATTTGGGTGAAGTATCTATAAATTTTAAATAGTAATTTTATGAATTGTTTGATATACATTTTTGTTTCTTATGTATTTAAAGATCTTATTTTAGTGTGAATTATGTAAGGGCCAATAAATGTATGTGTCATGTGTTGAGAAATATGTATTTTTTATAATGTTGAAATTACTAAATGTAACACTTTGAAAAAACTCTTTAGTGTACTTTTCTTAAATGTAATACTGTAATATAATACTAAAAAAACGTAACACTCCAATATAACACAAAAAAAAATTATGTATTTTTTTCAAACCTAATAAGGTAACATTCCAAAAAAAAAAAAATTCCTTAATGTACTTTTCTCAAACGTAACATTCTAATTAGTGTAACACACAAAAACTTCTTATTATATTTTTTTCTAACGTAGCACTCCAATTAACATATTAAAAAATTTCTTAGTATATTTTTCTCAAATGTAATAATGT